GTTTCATTAATACGCCTCAAGTTCCGAGGGTTCGAATTCGGATTCGGCAAAGATAAGGATACTAAAGGAAATATCCTCACTGGTGTGAAAGGAATTAGCCACTTAAACAAGACTGTTAACTAACTGAGGCATTTCTTACCAAGACTGGCAGCATTGATGACGTCTATACGCACACTGACACACAAGACGAAGCTTGGTGCTGGGGTTTGCGAACAAGAAGAGGCTTTCAATGAAAGGAAAGATTTGACCACAGATGCTCCCGTCCTTGCTTATTTTGACCCGGCTTTCCCTTCTGAGATTCAGTATAACACTAGCCAACACGGAATCGGGATGATGTTGATGCAGAAGACTTTCGAAGCCAGGCCCTGATGTTTACCGAGTGCCGGTAAACGCAAATCGAAGGAGAAATGCTTGGTGACTCGTAGGCCATTGATCATTCTAACGGATGCACTTTCGCGTGGGAAATACCGTGTCCACCGACCACAAAACCCTTCGTGTCACTAGTCAACAGGCATTTCCTATCATACCACGTAACCTACAGAGAATACACACGTCTTCATAAATACGATTTGGATATCATCTTTTAACCTTTTTTCGAGAATGTACGTCGTCGACGCACTTTCCGGATACGTAAGGAGTATAGGAGGACCTGGACGTCGTCGACGCAACACAACTCGTTTTCCATGAACAGGGTTCATAGCATGCTTCTTCTGAATGCATAGATTAGGTTTTGTCAATCAGCTGCGTACCGCTTTATCGGTAGCAAACAGCCGTGCCCGTGATCGATGGTGTAGCTTCGATTGCACTCGATACAAGACCTCAAATGGCTTGCGCTTATCAATCAGATGCCCGGTGCAGATCAGATGGTTAGTTATTGCACTCAACCTAGTTGTGTCCTGTTGGGTGACGAGCGACTTCGATAAATGTTAGTTGATTCGTTTTCCAAAGCGCATGGTCGTGCGCCCAGTGTACCTAGCCCCACAGGAGCAGGATCCTTTCGTGCATTGTTCCTAGATTCAAACAGCATATGCCTAATCAACGCCAAGCACCTGCTCCTGTGAGGCTAGATACATTGGGCGCACGACCAGATACTTGGAAAAGCGGAGCAATATATCATAAAAATGGGCACATTACACGATATTAAGCTATTATCCCAAGCTTCAGTCCTGTCTTTGATGCGTGTGACGAGGGAATCGAAAATACTCCGCAGTTACTAGTGACACTGATCTGATCCAGCTCATAAATTTTTCCGATCATTTCTGAAACAGCTAGTTTTGTGTCGGTTCATAGAGTTCCGTATAACTGAAGCATGTGAGATATTAAGCGACCAGTCTCATTAAACAACCAGAACTGTATCCAATGAGGCAGACAACTGTGATTCTGACTCGGCCGGATATTGTCACCCTTAGATTGGTTTCATAGTGGCTGGTGCTAGATTAATGGTTCTTACCAGTGGGATGCGTGGTTGGGGCATCCATTTTCAACCTTACCTATTACTGTGAATAAGAGGAGAACTGGGCCGACGTTCATTGAGAGGTTATGAGCGTATTGCGTGGTACCAAAAATTTCAACTTCCCCAAAAATTCTGATGAATAAGCCCGTGCGCTATGAGGATGCAAGAGACCAGTGGTTCAGAGACAGACCAAAATCTTTCAACGCGCTTCACCGCTGTAAACTTAGTATGAGGTGGAGCAGATTTAACAAAGCCACACGTGGCATCGTTTGAGCTTTAGGGTGTGTAACGATGTGGCCACTCATTGGACCTAGCAATGTCAACAAAGTTGTACACTTCACAGTCCATAGCAAGGTTCATCAATCAGTAAGTAAGGTGACAGGATCTGGTCGGTAGGCATCTTATCAAAACTGACCGCAAGCGCAGAGGGTTTCGGCGTATTGCATGGAGATGAGTTTCCAGCACAGGTTACCTCGTAATTAGTCGATACCGTAAAACGTATTCCACCTCAATGCTGGCACTAATAATCACAAGAGGACGATTGTGGCGCTGTACTTCTGAGCAATTAGTTGAAAGTGAACTTTCGACCACAAAGAAATATGGAAGAATGTGTGATTGACGTAGTTAAAAGTCGCATAAATTCATATTGGCTAGAGTCCCCACAGTGACGTGTCAGAGATTTGTAGACGAAACTTGAGCAAAATGAAGTACTTGATTTGACGGACAAGTTGGCGGCATACATAACCTGAGTTTCAGCTTAAACTACACCGTTAAATAAGTAAGCATGAACATCCATATTGCCGAATGATGAGCCGTGTTTGGTATATTTCCAGTTGCGATTTGACTCTCCTCCAGGTGTTGCTGCAAAATTACATCTGTCGGTCACAGGTTCGCTTTATCTTAGCGTAAGTTTCGGAGCGCAAGCAAGGAAACAGAAGGGACTATTTGGAGGGACTAGGTTCAGTCAGCGGCAGTCCATTAGCTTGTGGTTATACGCGTGGACCACGTGCCGTCCTACTGCATACCTGCATCTCCCTACAGATCGCACCTGATCTATGTTGATGCGAATCTCAAGATGCATTTTGTACGTGGGTAGTGAGTCCACCTTTCTCATTCCGATGGGGTAGGGTGCGTCACCGTTTCAAATGTGGGTTGGCCCGTCTAATGGATGGCATGGGATAGCGATGCTTGTCGACATGTGAGCTTCCACCTCTGGTTGACCTGCTGGCCTAAACAGCGTCGATTCCTTTTAAACGGGTGTGTTTGCTAAGGATAACAGATAGGTTGCGACATCCATCGTTAGGTGATGGGGCAAGCTATGGGGAAGAAAGCGTGAATCATAGAATGTAACTCACCATCGAAGTGCGCTGAGTGGAGAGTGGAGCTACGACAGACGGTGGAAATTTTAGCATTGGTAGTAGAGGATAAAATGAACATGGCATTTAAATGAATTGAACCGACATGAGGAAAACCTATACACCCAACTTAACCCTCACAAGTGGGTCACACAGAGAGTGTTTAGGCACCAGCTAACCGTCTGATGCACAATGGATCAGTGAACGCATTCTCAGAAGCCAGTCAACTGATGGCTGTAGATAAAGAATGCAGTGTTGCTCTGGAAAGTAGATTGTCTACAGTGGTGTCATCCCGCTTTCCAAGTATTTAATTCTCCTGGCAAATACCGACAGTCTCCGCATCATCATCGTCTGTGGGGTAAAATACTCTTCATACCTGAGTAAATTACTTTCGTGACCTCGGTGTCCCAGTATGCAGTAGGTGACCGTTTAAACTGTGGCCTCATCTGTATCCGTGATAATAACATAAGTCCAGCAGAGACTGAGCAGGTGATAAACCTGTTTGTGGACTAGTACAAAATAGCGGCATTAATCATGGTCAGGTTTTGTGGGCAGAATCATGAGAACTACCCAAATGCGCCTTCCGCAACCGTTGTCGTTGAGAAGTGTATTCTTGAAGGATTACTAGCCCAATTCCGTTTAGAGAAACCACATCAGTTTGCACCAAGAAGTTCAAGGTTCACGCAAGACGCCGGAGCTTGGCTGGCGCATTCCATATTATCGTCGCTAGACAGCAGGAACAGATCCACGTGTATTCGCTTCCTTAACCACAGCAACGCTTTCAGCTATGTTTACTGCGAATCGATGTTTCGAGCACTGCACGCCTCTGGCATTCAAACTTCTCCAGTATTCCTGCCAGTGGATTATTTCGCCAAACGCACTCAGGTTATCACAATGGGCGGCGGAAATTCCATGTCACTTAACCTACGGTATCCTACAAGACACTATTCTGTCACCATTCTTATTCTCTACGCACCTTCGTTCCGTACTCATCCCCGAAGAACTCGTCTGGCCAAAATATGATGGTGACGTAATTATCCGTGTAAAGTGTTTAACCCCAGCCTCCTCTACCAAGCTACAAAGTTGTTTGAGTGAACTATTGCGGCGGTTAAAATGCGGCTGTTTGGCGCAGTACGCAATCAGGTGCAATGATATTCTGTTTGTCCTTCATAAAGCGGCTCGTTACAAAACACCTGCCACGGACTGTCTCTGTCTTCACGTCGATGATAAACCTTGAGCTCTGAGGGTATGCGTGTGTTCTCCGAGCTGGCTGATTTGGCTGCAAATGTTTCATCGTCAGGCTAGACGATGAAACGTTTGCAATCAAATCAGCCAGCTCGGATAACACACGCATACCCTCATCCGCATCCCGAGCTACAAAATTCTCACGGATTTCTAATGAACTTGAGCTCTGTTTGTTAATAAAATATCTTAGTCACACTGAGCCATGAGTAATCGTGGTCACTTCATGTGAAGCACATTTTCACCAGAAATAATATTCACCAGAGTCAGGTGACTGTCTCCATTCTTTTACTGTATGCGATCATCCCTCGTCTCCTACAATTCGATTCAAAGGTACAGCCCTGCGTGAATTATGCCGCACTGAACTTACCACTCTCCTGTGATTTTGCCAGGCTTATTGAGTATGAAGCACAAACTATCTGACAGGCTGCTGAAGCAGTTGCCCCTCTGCAGTGGCATTCCGAAGTCGACTTTTGCTCAAACAGTTGCATTCACCTATGCTATTTCCTTCACAAAATGCATCCAAAATACTCACCGATTTAAGTTACCCTTTGTATGGCACATTATGTAAACGTATACCTATTTCATGGACCACACGAAAGTACAGATCAACACATGTTCACAAGCCGGTGTACAGCTTGTCGGTCACTCGTTACCTTTACACCTTGGTTCGAACCCAATCATTCACGTAAAAACCATTGAATTTTGCCAGTAAAACTATGTTACGCACTGGGCTATCGTTTTGCTACTGTTTTTCTGAAACTGTATTACTAATATTGTTAACATGCTGTAAGTGTGCTTCACGGCTGAACATTTGCCCATCCCTAGTGTAAAAATGCGCATTCCGGACTTGACTTGATCCATCGAGCGCAAGAACTTCGCTTTTATATTTCCTCGCCTTAGATTGTTTTTAACAGACTGCGTCACTTCCACTTCTCTTTTACCTCCAGCTGTTTAGACGGTGCCATTCTGGTGGCGACTTGTGTGCTTCAAGACCAACGTTTGAGGTGGAGCAACTGGCTGAAATGCTGAAAGCCGTAACATCTAACAGTAGCACGTCCGACTACTGTACTCGGTTGAACATCTTGTCACCCACTGAAGCAACTCTAGAAGACGTAAACGAATACGACTTGATGTATGTATCCTCCAATTCTTCAATGTCAAACGGTTCGGACGAGGAGAGCAGTGCATCTTCATTGAAGAAAGGGAACCTTCTTGGATCAACTAATAGTTCAAGAGTACGCGTGCCTTTTAAGCCAATGCGGACTAAGACAATACAAGCGCCAAGCACAGAACCTAAGCTCGAGCACCGCCATGCCCGAGAAAGTAAATTAGTAATTATTGATTGTCGATATCCGTACGAATATTATGGCGGTCACATCCAAGGCGCGATAAACATGGCGGAGTGGCCCATATTGCGAAGGTTTCTGTTCGGATCCCACGGCAGATGTTGCGCAAATAAATTGGCCCCAAAACTTCCTCGTTCTAGCAGAACCGTCTTCGTAATGCACTGCGAATTTTCATCACAACGTGCTCCTAAATTGTTCAATTTGTTGCGCAATCACGATCGCTTAATCCACATGAGTTTTTATCCGGCTTTGCGGTATCCAAAGATTTTTCTGCTGCGTGGGGGTTATGCAGCATTTTTCCGAAGTCATCCAGAGCTGTGTGAGCCATCAGCATACGTAAAAATGCACAGTTTTCCCGAACTACTTTCTAGTTGGAGTCGACACTGTGAAATTGTCAATCGGAGAAACTCCGTATGCTGTGATTGCTGGCCTGGTGTAGTTAGACTACCACTATTCCCATTACCGATACAATGATCTCCTCCAACCTGGTGAGATGAGGACACGCCCAGAAAATTTGTGATCCTTGGTGATTATAAGCCAAAATTTCTATCCTTCATTCATTTTTGCTGCTTTAAGAATATTTTTAAAGATGCAGCACTCAGGATAATTTTTCCCTTTAATGGACTGGCACGATCTTTTATAACTTAAATTTTTATTATTTTGCCTATCCTCTGAAACCCAACACCAACAGGATGCTGTGGAAACCATCGATCCACGATCTTCAACGTCTCATCTGACACAAAGCTGAAGAATTTTTATTAAATATAGGAAACCGACTGATTGGTCTCTGCAACAGAGGCAAGCGAGTTTCGCTCAAATCAGACGAGATGCTTTTATTTCGTTTTGGTACATCGCACTGCCACGCAACTTTAGATTACATTCACATTACGAACAATATATACTTCTCAATGCGAGTTATTTCTTACTGCTTATTTAAACACCTTATGCTTGTTAATGGTGGATGTTTGTGAGTAGTGTGAAGTTCGAAGAAAGTAGAAGCCACGATTAAAATTCACGCACAATAATATGCCTCGACGGCGAGTCGAACCCCGGTCCACGAATTTCCGGTCCGTTGCTCTACCACCTGAGCTACCGAGGGCTGACGATTAGGTGCGCAAATTTTAACACATGTCTTCTGCTTGGTGCGCGACGTGTTGCCAATAAGCTCACAGTACCTGTCCTGATGTTGCAGATTGGCTCACTCACCCGTCACTTCCCAATAGACCGAAGTTCCTGTCCTTCAGACGTCCAATGGGCGATGGTAGATTAATGGTGGATGTTTGTGAGTAGTGGGGTGAGTGAGCCAATCTGCAACATCAGGACAGGTACTGTGAGCTTATTGGCAACACGTCGCGCACCAAGCAGAAGACATGTGTTAAAATTTGCGCACCTAATCGTCAGCCCTCGGTAGCTCAGGTGGTAGAGCAACGGACCGGAAATTCGTGGACCGGGGTTCGACTCCCCGTCGAGGCATATTATTGTGCGTGAATTTTAATCGTGGCTTCTACTTTCTTCGAACTTTACACTACTCACAAACATCCACCATTAAACTACCATCGCCCATTGGATGTCTGAAGGACAGGAACTTCGGTCTATTGGGAAGTGACGGGTGAGTGAGCCAATCTGCAACATCAGGACAGGTACTGTGAGCTTATTGGCAACACGTCGCGCACCAAGCAGAAGACATGTGTTAAAATTTGCGCACCTAATCGTCAGCCCTCGGTAGCTCAGGTGGTAGAGCAACGAACCGGAAATTCGTGGACCGGGGTTCGACTCCCCGTCGAGGCATATTATTGTGCGTGAATTTTAATCGTGGCTTCTACTTTCTTCGAACCTTATGCTTGTGTCAATACAAGTTAGTGGCAGACTTCCGCGCTCACTTAAATGCCTTAACTAACGGTTCTCAACAGTAGTCCAAGTGTATTCTTTGGCAATGTTTTTCCTAGATCCTAAACGAAGTATTGTTGCCTGTATTTTGCGATACTTGTTCCGAACTTCTTTTGTCATGGTATGCGTGGGACAGCTGAGTTTACAGAGAGACAATGAGTTGCCTCGATGCCCCACCCACTGCTTTACTCATTCACATATGCCTTAACAAAGGCAGCAAGACTGGGAGGCATGCGATTGGGAGTCATGTAAGCTCCAGTTCTGACAAACACTCACTCAACACATGCATCACTGATTAAGGGATACATGCACATCATATAATATAAACAACGCGATGATTTTGTCGTTAGCAGTTCCATGCCTTAGCAAACATACTCCCAGTATCGGCAAGGAAGCTGTGCAGTTTAATACTCTTAGCAGATTGGAAGACACATCAGTTCAATTAATGGTACTGGACAAGTAATCACGGCTATCGTATTCAGCTCTCGCGCAGTGTTATCTGGGGATAAACATCTATCGAGCGACACATCTTCGATGGTGCAAACTGATGTACGATTGAAGTGAAGAAAAACAAGACATACATGACGAACACACAGCAAGCACCGAGACCCAGTAATTTGAGGTCATAGTAAGCGAAAACGAGAAGAGCGCATGTTGAGGACTGGAGAATTCGCCGAATTGCTTAAGCATGCACGTATTGACGTCGAGATGGCAGGAAGATTACAACAGTCTCGTAAAACAAACCACGACTACCAAGGTTAGTTTACAGTCGGTAATCAATTATTCTGCTTATTCTCAAGCCACGTCATGACAATTTTCATCATTACTGCCATCTGAAGTATAATGGGGTGACCATCCCATGCTTGCTGCAGCACCACAAGGCGCCTTGGAAAATGGATCTGCTGGGGGAAGTGAATTCTATTCTACCAGTTAAAATGTGTTACTCAAAAGTGTCGTACAGCAGGCTGCAAAACAGCGGTAAGAATAGACGAGTTATGGGCGTTGCGAAATCATGCGATTGAGCGGCAGCACTGTCCAAATATTCACATGGGTTGATGGCGCAACGGGTAAAAAAGCAAATACTTGGCATGTCCCGTAGAATGGTTAAGTTAAGAATTAAAAATTAAGCTAAGCAGTGCCGGTAAACGATTGTGTGTGACACATGTCTGACCAAGGGGTTTGGAGTAGCACATGTGCAGGTATTCCTCTTTGGAATTTAGGAGATTTATTATGCAATAATGCCATCATCTGATGGTCGTAGGCTATATCAAGTAATGTCAATGTGTCAGCTTTTCGTCGAGTCGTTTTTTGAAAAGGGATAAGGTGGAGGCATATAGTACGTGCGTTGGAACAGCATGCGAAGGGAGAAAAGGTTGGGTCGACATTCCAGTCGACTGTATTGCGTGGCCATCTTAGACTCCTAACCCTTTAGAGATGTGTTTTGACTGCTTCAAAAGCGAGTGCCAACTGGTGCTTGGATTTCTCGGGATCTGATACATCATTGAGATCTCGCCGTAGACGCCGATAACGGCCGCTGTACATTTTGAGTTTTTTTCATTCGGAGTGAGTAGGGAAGGTAGGACAAAGCTTTGACGTTCTCCGTCACCCTACGTTGTGCAGTATCGAGCGCGGTGAGGTGGTGCTTCTACCAGCGTTGCCACACTTGCATAGAGTATTCCGTATGCAGCCGCACGTACGCGCCAAGCATTTTAGGAAAGTTGATGGCGTCAAAATCTCGTTAAGGCAGAGAGAAGACAGAGGTTGCGATATGTCAACATTTCGATTGTTCTCCTCAGTCGCAAACACAATACGATCAGAAACACATAAGGGATTATATACATGGAAAAATAAAAGGCACCACCAATCAAAATGTCACAGTCAAGACCATGGCAACCGAATGGATTGCCTCAAGAGTTTCTGTGCACATAGCACAGGTTGATAAGCCTTAATTAACAACGCGTCACTAATTGCTAGCATTATCGGGTTTTTGTTACGTAATAACACTTTGAACGCTGTCTCAGGGTTTACGTGATGACGGATTGTCATGAGGTGCTTGGTGATAGACGATGCCGGGCTCCGATTGATCCTCAGATTCGTCCCATGTTGTTGCGTAATCACTTGTCCTAACCACTTTGGCAAGTTCTCAGCTACCCTCTGAGCTAACTGACGGTTTGTTCTGCCTATGTAAATGTCACCGCAACCGCAGGTGAACTGATAAACAACGTGAGAGGCCGAACTACCCGACGAGATGCTCTGACGGTTATGAAGAACAAGTGCTCGCGTGGTATGCCTGAATCGCAACTGGGCTGTCGTGTAGGTTCGCTTTAGGGCGGACCGGAGCTTTCGTCTGATGTTATTGGCCACATGGTCCCCCTTGAAAGGCAGAAACAAATAAACATACATTTCCCAGCCGTCAACACCGGTGTTTTCACTCTGGGAGGTCTGCCGTGTACCTGAATAGACTTCTCAGGATTTCCATTGGCAATTAAGGTCTTGCGTAGAAATTCTTCTTAGAATGGCTGAAGGGGACCCACTGTTTTAGTTTTCTGAAAAGAAGGCGTCAAAATCCCCGAAAGCTCCGTGAAGAACGCCAAAGTGTTGGTTTACTTACTTTCATGTCATTCCAGCTCGCCTCAACCATCCAAGGTCCTCTTAGAGGATCACACCAACATCGCACTCAGGAGTAGTCTGCTATAGAAGTTGTGGTCCTAGCCGGTAGTTGTGATTACTCTGATAGCATATGCTCAGAATTTTGAATTTGGTGGCGTTGAACTGCAGCGCCTTCTCGATGGGGCATGAGTATGCTTCGTCCAGATCATCCTGCATGAATGCGTGGTCCCCCACTGAGATGATAGTACGCCATATTTTTAGATCATCGTTTGAACACAGCACACTTGCGAGATTCTTTATGAAGCCCAGGAAAAGGCGAGGCCGGAGTACCGAGCCGTGTGGTATGCCGCACTAAACTTCGATTGGTTCGAATGGGGTGATGTGAACCCTCACCGGCAGGTGACGTTGAAAGTGAAAGTCGCCAATCCATTCTAGAACGGGAGCGCCGATACCATAATTATGGAGTTTGTGCAGTGGAATGCGATGGTCCAGATATTCGAATACCATGGAGAAATCCAGATAGGATACGTATACTCCTACACCAGGGTCTACAGGTTCCGTCCAGCTTGCGCGAACTATCAACAGATTTGTGGTGCAGGACCGATTTTGAAGAAATCCGTGTTGCTCCGGATTAGGAATGTGTTACTCTCCAGGTACGCCATGAGCACCTCAGCGGCAATGGACTCCATGATCCTGGAGATCACTGGGAGTATTGTTTTCGGGCGATAATTCGCTGGTTCTGCACGGATACCGCATTCGCAAAATGTAGTGATGTTTCTGTGCTTCCACATCGTGGGAACATGCACCTCATTAAAACATCTCTGAAAAGGTATTGCTAAAGATTTAACAAAACATGGCAGCAACTCACAATGCCTTCGCATGAATACCGTCCGCACCCTGGAAGCTGTATTCGCGCAAGGACATCAGCCGTTTCAGTAGACCTGCGGTTGTAAAAGTTACTTGGTTAAGGCCTGATGGCGGCATGAGCTGCATTGGTATGATGTGAGACGGTTGCACGCTTTGGAAGGTGCGGCCAAATGCTTGTCCAATAACATTGGACGCCTCTTGTTCCGTCAGTGTTAACCCGCATTCAGTGTGCAGAGCGGGAATTTCGCGCTTTACCCGGTGAAGTTTGTGTCCGTGTCTGTATAGCAGCTTGGGATTATAGTAAAGTTTTCCACTAGGCTAAGTTGGTTTTAGTTTATGCTTCGGACGAGTTTGACACAATGGTCCCTGTAGGTTATATAGACCTCACAAGTGTCCTAAATCGGAGAGGTTGTGTGAGTGAGCCATGCCAAGTCCCGCAATGTCATACTTTTCTGAGTCCTGCTCCGTAAGCAGGAGTTCGCTATTTTGGCTCGGTGAACGTTAGTTTCAGATTACTTGCCACGAGCCAGCTGAACCTGTTGACAACTTCCCGGCGGGCCACCTCAGGAGACCATTCGGCTAGGAA